AGGGCTAGGGTTTTTTTCTTTGTTTTAAAACTTTAACTCCTTTGGGCTTGGGTTCTTTTCCTTTTGTTTAAGGCCCACTTACCCAACCCCTCCTTGTTAAAACAAGCCAATAATATAATTTCGTAAATGACCCAATGGCCCAAAACAAGTGTCACATAGCGGAAWCCGTACTAAACCATAAYTTGATAAATAACTACACGCTACTAACTCACCACTAATTCTGTAACAATACACACTAGCCGAGATGCCACACTTAAATTAAATAAAGATAACTGATGAATCAAATAAAATAAAATGAAATAAATAAATAAATAAAATCTATTTTGTTATAAAAATTTCCCGGAACTCGAGGCAAGCTAACCTGAGTAACGTAGGGCGTTACAATCAGATTTGGATGCATGCGCTCGACCAAGAGCATACCGCCTTTGTTACCGATCAGGGGCTGTATTGCTACAACGTCATGCCTTTCGGTCTGAAGAATGCCGGGGCGACCTACCAACGGATGGTCAACATGATGTTCGCCAAACAGATCAGACGCAACATGGAGGTGTATGTGGACGACATGTTGGTAAAAAGTGAGCAGACGAGCTCCCATTTAGCAGACCTGGCGGAGGCCTTCAGTGTGCTTCGGAAGTATCAAATGAAGCTCAACCCGAGCAAATGCGCCTTTGGGGTCTCGTCAGGAAAGTTCCTCGGGTTCATGGTCCACGAACGCGACATTGAAGCAAATCCGGACAAGATAAGAGCAGTCCTCGAGATGGAAGCACCGAGGAATATTAAGCAGCTGCAGAGGTTGAATGGCCGACTGGAGGCCCTGAATCGCTTTGTATCACGCTCCATTGACAAGTGCCACCCTTTCTTCCAAACGCTACGGAAAAAGGGGCGGTTCGAATGGACCGACGATTGCGAAGCCGCACTTCGACAGTTGAAGCAGTACCTCAGCTTGGCTCCCTTGTTGTCCAAGCCGCTGCCTGGCGATGTACTCTACCTGTACCTAGCAGTGTCGGAAAATGCAGTGAGCTCAGTACTTATCAGGGAGGCGGAAGGACGACAGAGCCCTGTTTACTACACAAGCAAATCGTTGACCGAGGCCGAGGCTCGTTACCCCTGTGTTGAGAAGCTGGCTCTAGCCTTGGTAACCTCGGCGCGACGTCTACGACCATACTTCCAGGCGCACAAGATAATCGTTCCGACAAACTTCCCCTTGAGGCAGATTTTCTACAAGCCCGAAACGTCGGGTGGACTGATGAAGTGGGCCCTAGAGCTCAGTGAGCATGACATCGCCTTCGAGCCGAGAATAGCGTTGAAAGGTCAGGCAGCTTCAGACTTTGTTGCCGAGCTGACCCCACCCAGGCAAGGGGGCGAAGTCCATGACCAGTGCACACTCTACGTGGATGGTTCATCCAATGAGAAAGGTTGTGGGGCAGGCATGCTGCTCCTCAGCCCCGATGGCCTTCGGTTTGAGTACGCACTCCGGTTTGGCTTCCGAGCTTCCAACAACGAAGCCAAGTACGAGACATTGATAAATGGCCTAAAAGTCGCCAGAGGGATGGGCGTGAGGCGACTCCTGATTCTAAGCGATTCCCAGCTGATCGTCAATCAAGTTACCAAGGAGTATCAAGTGAAGGAAGCTCGTATGGAGAGGTATCTGGCCAAAGCCCGAGCGCTCCTCGCCCAGTTTGAGGACTATGTGAT